CTCGGTGGAAGCACTTCGGGTCGAATGTTCAACAGATTCGGAATGACCTCCAAAGACCCTCCAAACCCCGGACTACGAGAACCCCCAAGGCTGCTTCCAGGGCAGCTGGGACCTTGCTTTGAACACCAAACCAAGCGGACCAAGCGGCATTCATTGACACCCAGAAATTGGACGGTGATTGGATGGAGCATACATCGTCAGCCGGGTCTACGGGGGACACATTCTATGCTGGGAAATATTCTTTCGCATTTGGCTGATTCCTTTTTTTGCGGTGGGCCAAAGAAAAACCACAACACCTCCAGCATCGTATGCCCAGCACTACACATAATGGGCTCGACTTCTGCTCCAGGAGCTGCGAAAAAAGACACAGGAACTCTTCCCCATGTCAGGGGACATAGGGAACATAGAAATCACCCTAAGCAACACCAGGTGATGGAAACCTCCTCCTATCCCCTTCTGCCAAATCTCCACTACGATATCCATCACTCCATATCTCCCCATATCAATGAACTCAACCGGGAAGGAGTCATGTACTTCGACACTCCGCCCAGTGTGCCCCTCCCCTCCTCCATCACATCTGCCCGTCTTTGCACGCCTTGCAGCCGAGCGACTCCATCGAAGGCGTGTGTGCGCTTCTTGGGTGGCCAGTGTTGGGCATTGGGCCCCACCCGCAGGTAGACGCCGCTCAAATCCTGGAGAGGGGAAGGACGGGGCGCGGATGGGTGGAGAAACAAGAGACTTCTCCTGGATTGGGACTGAGGTGTTCTTTGTGGGCATCATACAGAGTCATCCTTCCCGTGATGCCACATGTGTTTCTTTTGTTCCGACATGGTCAGGTCTCGATCTTGCACACGGTCCAACGGCGTCCCTCCATCAAAGTGAAGAAGCCAAAAAAAGCCAAGAAGCCTAGAGCCAGAGCCAAGCAACAAAAACAAACAAGTCGCCCTCGACATCACAGCCTCACAGCTGTGAGTGATTGCCCCGATGGTCAGCTCTATCAGCTCCCTACGGACGGGAGCAAGCTGGTCACCAAGAAAAGGGCTTCAGATGACTTCAGAGTTGCTCCTCCGTGCCTCAAAAGGCACGGTCCAAAGCATGAACCACCCACCTCACCACCTCCTCCGGTCGCAGTGCGCCCATATGCGCACCCAGTCTGATGCACTATCCAACCCTCCCCCCCCCCCTTCCGCCCGGGGAACCGCGAAGAACCGCGAGGTTTCTCCCGTGCGCCAGAGAGCGACCCGCTCCTCAGGGACCTTTCCCGACTTCAGCGTCATCTTCACGTGCTCCGCGGCCGAGACCGGAACCATCGCGCCGTTCATCCTGACGACGCGGCGAAGAAAGGGGCTTCCGGCGCGGCCCGGCGCTGCCCTGGATGTGATATAGCCGGAATCCCGAAGAACCATCGCTGTTCCGATTTTTACAATACGAAAACCAGGTCTACAAACCAAACCAGGTCCGTTTTGAACATCGTCTTGGAAGGCAGGGGAAGGCTAAAGCGGCTAAAGGGTTATTCACCATGAAACCCGGACCTCAAGGAAAACGAGTCCCCTCGAAGAAAGCGCCGAGCCCTTTGGGGATGTCTTCCAGGCGCTGAAAGCGAGGCCTGTGAGTTCAGTAGCTGAAATCTCCTGGAACTTCTTCTCACCCTTTTGTTTTATCACTATCTCAAATTGCCCCTGCAATTCCAATAATGCTCTGACTACATGACGCGAGTTCCAGGAATTTCGACACTTGGGTGGTGCCCAAGTGTAAGTCTTTCACGGGATTTCAAGGTCCCAAGGAGCTTCCTGATCCACCTTTTGCAAGAGAATTCCATGATCATCACTTCAACCAATTTTATGTACGAGGAGTTGGAGCGCAAGGTTGACCGTGTGATGCGCAGGGTCCCTTTGACAATAAAACCATCGCCTTCAAAGACGGCTGACCTGGTTTTAGTGGTGTAAACACAATGGTTGTTCCGGTGAAAAGTGAAACACCCTTGTCAAATCAATGGTCAGGACACCATTGATTTTTGTGTCATGCTCGCTCTCTCGATCTCCTTCCGAACGCTCAAACGCCCTGGCCGAGCATCTTTTCAGCCCAGCCCAAAGAGCTGGAGACATCTTGGAACATATCCAGGACACCATCGAAACAACCGGTCAACGCGCCTTAGTCGGCCGTGGCCGCCCAACCCGTGGCCGCCGCAGTGTTGACACCATCGGACCAGGCCACCACTGGCCCGACCCACAAACGAAACACTTGTCCTTCGGTTTGGTGAGTGAAGCGAACGGAGCTCTGTCTGCGAGATCAGTGGGGTAGATCACGCCAATCAATGTCCAAGAAAGGCCCTCAAACGTTCAGCCTCTTTCACATGTCTTTTGGTCACCACCATGCAGAATGAGCATCCCAGAATCCCAGAAGATTCTTGAATGCATGAACTTGAGGAGTTTAGTGCGTAGTGAAGCACGAAGACAAACATACACACCTCACATGTTGATTCATCCTGCAGCAAAGGCATGTCGGAGCCGGCCGAAGACTTGATGGCACATCGGTGGTTTGGGTACCCAAACACACACACACATTCAAACGCACCAAAACAACAACAAAGATACCCCCAAAGCTTTTTCAGCAGGCAGGAGTTGATCCCTCAAAACCTACAAGATGTTCAGGGTCCCGGACCTATAGTTAGGAGGGTCCAGCTTTCGCGGGGTAGCATGAAAGATGCCCTTCCAACTGCCTTCCTTTGTGAGAATGACGAACGACTTGCGGCAGCCGGGGCACTCGCACCCTGCCTTCCTTCCTTCCCATCCCACCTCCAGTGACCCACCTCCAACCCCCCCAGTTCTCTTCTCCCTCCGACTTCTCTGACCCATCCGAGTCCCGAACGGTCCCTTGACCACTCTCGTCCCTTGAACGAGGTTTCCAGGACCACGGAGGTTCGGAGGCTTCGGAGGGTTCGGCGGTGGACACCCCAAAATTTATCTCTCATGTATATATGTTCCAGCCAAGAACCACCCCCTGACTCCTTTCCGTGGTGCTGGTTGATGGGTTTGTCGTGTAAAACCCTAAACTTCACCGAAAACCAGCCGGTTCTTCGGCATATTCCTTCAGGCTATTTGAATAAAAGAGACCTGGGCCACGACAGACCTGGCATGGGGAGCCCGACGCCCGCCTCACGCCGAGCGACGCCTCGCGGACAACATGTCGCTGACAGTCGGTGCGGTCGGTGGCCGCCGGTGGCCGCGGGACGCGAAAGGGACGCGGTGGATCGGCTGGAGCCGTTGGCAGCGACCGGTGGCAGCGACCTGCTTCTCTAGTCTAAAATCCTTGGCACAAGCATGGTTCGTTGGGATTCAGACCATTCAACATGGCGCCCTGTTTTTGTCCAGACAGAAGTGGTTTGTTCCGTAGGCACCGTCAGGGTTGGATAACGTCTTTCACGCCAGGACATGGAAATTAAACCGGAATCTTCACTGTACCCGGAGGCCTAGAAGTTCTCCTTAGCGAAGTACAGGACGTGTCCGAAATCAGGTCCCCCAGTCAGAACCTCCTTGGTGATCAAGTCTCTGGACTTCTACCAGCGCCCTCGCCCTTGTTTGAGGTGTCTATTTGCATCGCCTGGTGTCTGAGGGTGAGGTTCCAAAGACCACCGGATGAGCGGGACACGGTGAAACGATCCTGGTGAAACGGTCACATGAAATGAAGCCTTGGAACACCCAACATCATCACCAATGGTGTCCGGTGTTGGCTGCACCGAGGCTGAACAACCCGAGACAAGCGACGTTCCGACGTTTCCGAGAGCAGACGACAGGTGCAACACATCTATAGAGCAATGGAAGCAGATACCATTATATAGCCAATCCCAAATGGCCATTCAATCGGAACATCAAAACCCATGCATTGTGAACGCCCAAAAGACCACGCCTACTCAACTAAGCTTAAGCAGAAGGTTCGATGAGCAAGTGGCACCGCGCTCAAGGAGTAGTCTTTCCAATCCAACTTCATTTTTTGTGCTTTAACGCTCAGAAGGTCCGCGTTTCTATGAAACATCTAGTTGCTCTGGGAGTACGGAGTACGACAAAAAGGGATTTTTTTAATGGAATTATCAGGATCTCTAAACTAAGATCTACCACAGGACTGCTTGGTCCTCACAAGCGAACCACCTTTGTTTTTTTTTGCATCTGGCAAGTCGAGTTGAGCTCGACTTGCCACGTCATGAAAGCTACTCACATGCTAAGGATCTCTGGACGCTCCCTTCAGCGCCGGAGAGCCAGGAGCGAATCTGTCCACCCCCCGGTCCGACGATCTCATGGACCCTGAGATGATCGACCGTTTTTTTTTTTAACCGACCATGTTCCGCATACCAACTTGACGTGGTTTTGGGGTGAGTCATGCGGTCCTCACTCTGCACGGGAGCAATGTGCCTTGGAGATTTGCACCTGTTCCAAACTGCAATCAAACCTCTGTTGCTCCAAAGGGTGCCTAGCTGAAGAATGGGCTGGAGATGTGTTTGTAAACCCCTTTGGAACTCCAGGTCGCCACGCTTTCGGTCTCTTGTGTGATTGAAACATCTTTGTTTAACGTAGACTCTTGAGTATATTTCAACCGCCCTGGCGCTGTTTTTGAGAGGAACACCCCATTTCTGGGAGGGACAGATCACCGTTGGAGTCCTAGATGATCATGAGGTGCTTGCATGAACATGGATAACATGTTGTACCTTCCCATCCGCCCGGTGCTTTTCGGACACCCCCGGTTCCTCACCTCTTTACGAGGCGTAAATTGACACCTCAAGCGGAGGGTCCTGGCAGAAACACTTCTGAATGGAACTCCCGGAATGACATCCTCCATTCCCCAAATGGTTTTATCCTCAAATAAATCCCCCTGTTCAAGCCTTTCCTCTGCTTTATGACCACTTCTATAAATCAACATGGCAAACATTTTCAAACAATCCCCCCATTTTCGGCTCCGACCTTTCCAGTTTCGCACACGGATCGCCACCAGAACCTAAGTGCCCCCGCGCGCTGCGACCTCAGCGAAAGTGAGACGGAAGCAGCGGGTTCCACCCGAACGAATGCGGTGAGAAGAAGGAACCGTAGGGACCTGTCGCATTGCGTCATATCTCCCAGCACCCTCCAACAGGTGGTGCACCCTCCAACAGGTGGTGACCTGTTGGAGGGTACTGGTGCTGGTTGGGTACTGACTCCCAGGTGAGGTTTCCAATGAGGCGAGTTTGCGTGTTTTCAGCGATGGTTTTCGGTTGGGCGCGGGAGACTCGCACGTGTCCACGATGATGGCAATCATGTCAGTCCAACTGAAAAAAAAATCAACGCAAAGCCGCTATAAGCACCTCCATCAAATCGAACTTGCCACCGTTTCACCTTCAACGTCTCAAGATCCGCCACACTTCCCGTTCCTTTTGTGGGATTTACAAAAAGAAACGCCGTGCGAACCGCGCTGCGCCGTTTCCTGTGACTCAGCTGACTTTCCGGCGTCACCACCGAACGGTCGGTCGAACGACCGTGGAAGCCGAAAGGAAACCACGGAGAGGTACGTTTTGGACACCCGGAAAGAAACAAGCTGCAGGGACTTCAAGGACTTCCCTTTTTGGATGATCAAAACAACTGAAGGCCTTGAGGATTTGACCTCACCCAGAGGATCTGTGGCCAGCAAGTGAGCGGAGTGTGGCTGACAGAACACAACGCTCAAAAAACGACACCATCTTCGGTATCGTCGTAAGGACCAGGAGACGGGACAGGTCTGACGAAGGGGGACCGGGAAATGGAAGGGAACTTCCTCCAGGAGTTCCAACGATAGGGGTGCCCATTATCCACGCACTTAGAGACACAAAATAACCCCTTTGTGACCCCTGGCCTGGCTGAACACTTCGAAGTGGACTCGGACCCAACTCGACCACCAACCAAGCAACAAATATCAACAGTAGCACCATATCCGCCGACCCCGCTGAGACAGCAGGAAAGCCGTGCCAGAGGAGGTATATCCGAGTCCTGGCGACACCGCCTTTTCTTCGAGGCCAGAGGACCCGTGTGAGGGGAAAGAACGGCGTCTTGTCGACCAGAGGACCCGTGGGACCGTGGGAGGAGAGAGAACGGCTTCTTCGAGGCTTTCGAGGCGTTTCCGTCACAGCAG